TCCTTTCACATCCATCACGGAAAATTGGATACACCAAGCGTCTTTCTTTGGAAAGATCTCTGACTTAAGTATTATGATCTCTGACTCTCAACCAGACGATTCACCTTTGCTCTGTCAACTTTTCGACGTCAGGCAGGGTAAGATCCCATTTTCAGCTCAGCTTTAGTTTGCTACCAAGAGTTCATTGTAGACTATTGTCATTATACAAAGAGCTATGTCGTAGAAAGGACAATAGATTCTAGTTCATAGATCACAATTCCTCTGTTTAATCCCCTTGATGGAGTTCGGGACACCGTTCTTAGTAAAGATGAATAGACTCTTACAGGTCTCATCGTAAGAAAGTGGCATTTTCAGAGCTTTTCTAGCTTTGAGTGCTCTTGACGTAGGCATGGGCGTCTCCTGATCTCTGGATATTTAGTGCAGAAAGCGATCCGATTGACTAGAAAGTGACAATTTGTCTAAAACTTCGGAATGGTGCTGCACATGGTGCATCACGCGGCTTTTGAATGTCTATTTTACCCCACAGGAATTTGTTTCGCTCAGAGATCAGGTCATGGGTCTAGATTTACGCTTTCAAGGTAACTTTATAGAGCTGTATCGCCGGTATTCGTGTAGAACGTGTAATAAAAAATCAGCAACAGCCACCACACAGTAGAGTGATGCAAATGGCAGTCGCAACTCTTATTTGCTCTTCAATTTCCGAAACAAAAATATTGCTCGTGATAATGATGTGAACCGTCTCCGACATGAATGTTGGTACCATTCGAGAAGGAAATCTTGTTTTCATTTTTCAAAAAAATAACAGTTGCCCTCCGCAGGTGACAATGTTCACCGACCTCAAATTCATTCGAAAGTTTGGGTATGGAGCTTATTCCACATGCTGATTACAGGCACAGTACTCAGTCCACGTTCAAAATCGCTTCGTCGACTAACAATAAAAGTATGTTTTTCCACGGACGAGTTCCCGGTCCGAAACGTGTTATTTGGGAGGAAGAGTTTCGTAGCCAAAGTAATTCATTTTCTGTGGAAATGATAGTCCAACTTGTGGTCTGGCATTGTCGTGTCGAAAGCACTGGTCTTTTACTATTTGAACTTGCAAGAGGAAGATCTGATTTTCTGTGCAGTTCCTCACTTACAAGACAGTGCGACATAGCTGTGATGCCTTTGCCAGGTTTAAAAATCATCGTGATTCAAAAATAAAGAGAATCGTTTTTGTTATCATATAATATCCATTTCCCGTCACAGGTCACAATGCGGTCAAGAATGTTTTTTTTACGGAATATGTAGAGCGATAGAGCGGATCTCTTAACGCTGCTAAATTTAAGCCCGGTGAGTGCGCAAGCTACCCACTCATCAAACTTTTTCACTTTTCCCATTTGACCACAAAGACGGAATGACCGTAACGAAACCTTGAGATCCTCTGCTATTATGAGTAGGCCAGAGTTGAAAAGATAGTAGGATTTAAAGGGATCAGCCAGGTTCTTCACATTGCCGGAAGGTTCATTTTGCGACTAAATTTTGGAAACACCAGGAGATCAACGGAGATTTGTTCTCGCGTTCTAGACGTCTTTCTGCAGTTATTTGCAGCGATGTCTCGAAGTCCATGCGTTCAGTCGCAAATGCGTCACCATTTCTTATGCACATGGGAGGTGATAAAGTATTTGCGTGACAACCGGTAAACGGATTATGATGTAAACACATCTTCGCTGTGGAGGCTAAAGTCTGGTGCATTTGCTAGATTTGGAGTCAACATGGGGTCCGAGTGGGCTATGATGCAATTCAAATGCTCAGATTTAAACCAGTTCAGCTTCTTTCCCTTTGAAGAATTAGTTTTTCAGGATTAATCTTTATTGTGAGTGATTTGATCGAGCAATGTGATTTTTTATGGCGTTTTCCTGCCTCGGAGATTGCTGAAGGGACTGGGCGAGATATTCCCGCCAAAAACAGCGACTGACTGCAAGTTACTGTAACTCCGCCCAATTTGGCGGCAATTGGTTGATCGGCACAGGCAGCCAACCGCAACTCGTTTAATTCGCTCGCCCATCCCCTCCAGCAATCTCAAAGCCCGGAAAACGCCATAAGTAGCACTTTTTTGACTTGGACTCAGCGCATCTAGAAAGCTAAGGAGGTATGGAAAGCTAGTAATTGCAATTTTCCGAGCCATTGCTTTTGACAAAACGACTATCCAAGCAACAGCTCATTGCCAGGAGATCCAACATTTAACTCTCATCGATTAACGTGTCCGAAGTGACAGTGACCAGCCGGCTTGGAAACAGTACGGTACTGGGCGAGAAGTATAGGGTTAATCCCACCATGAACGAATTATATTAGGTCGTTTCGAAAGTTCTTTCCGTTTTTTCAACCTATCATAAAAACACGAGGAATAAAGGTAGGAAAACGGCTCAGGCACTATCCGACGCAGCTTTTCTTCCTCTTTTCAAATATCATATTACTATGGCGCTTGCTCTCGCGGTCAGTGAGATAATGTTTGAAATTTCGAATCCATGGTTTTCACGGTATCCAACTTTGGCAATTTTTCACGATCTTCTTTTTTGACTTTTGGAGAAGCTTTGATAGCAGTCAGATAGAGCAAACAAAGTTCGATTTAATGCAATTTTTCGGCGCCTATAGCTAGCCTTAAGAATTCTTTGGAATTATTTTTCTGATGCTATCAAATTCCACTTTTGGTGATGCCAAGAATCATAGAATATAAAATAACGCACAACTAAGGTGTCATTCAATGCAGCTTTTCCTCGTCTTTCTATTGAGTATTTTTATTCCCAATTTGTGGGAGTTTTTGACGATAAAATTTCCATAATTCTTGATTTTGAACCCGCCTAAGGGTGTACACGCGAAAAGCGAAATCTTATACTTCGAAGCGGTAAACACTGAGTTACTTTGTAAAAATAGTGAACAATCATAAACGACTTTTGAAAGCGTCGAAATCCAAAGATTTGTTAATGTTCGGAGCGTTTTTGTTTTTGTGACTTCGAAAAAGTGAAGACTTCTGGAAAAATTATCTCAAAAAGTACTAAGAAGCCAGTTAAAGTTGCCAAAAAATTCCATTAGATTGCACTTTGTTTACTCTACCTGACTGCTATCAAAGCTTCTTCAAAAGTCAAAAAAGAAGATTGTGAAAAATTGCCAAACTTGGACACGGTAAAAACCATAGGTTCAGCATTTCGGCTATTATCTCACTGACCACAAGAGCAAACGACAAAAAAATATGACAACTGAAAAGAGGAAGAAAAGCTGCGTCGGATAGTGCCTGAGCCGTTTTCCTATCTTCATTCCAGGTGTTTTTATGATAGGTTGAAAAAACGGAAAGAACTTTCGGAACGACCTAATATAAACTGCCATTTGCGTAAAACCTTATCAGTGTTATCCACTGTCTTAGCATAAGCATCCAACGTATTAAGATTTGCCTAGACGTTACCTTGGAAAATAAACTTAGCTCACAAAATACAGAAATCAAATTCCTCAGCGCAAAACACAGTAGAAGAACTGCTATTTAAACGATTTCCAGAAATTCTATTGAAAAAAAGGCGATGCGTTGTCGAGCCATTTATACGCTTATTATCCGAAATGATACCGTTGGGATTGCTCCTCTACACCTTTCCCCTAGTTAGCCCAGTCATGGCTGTCTAAGTCTCAGCTGTTTACAAAAACAACGATATTAGCATTACTGTAATTACTATATTCTCACACGACACAATCTACCACGCAATCAGTTTGATTCATCTACAGGACGTATTAGGTGTGTCATCCCGCATATATAGCGAATACGTTGCATAAACAGAGTGTTACTAATGTTGCGCAATTTGTCCATCTTTAGTCTCGCCGGAAATGAAGATTAATATGTGGTCTGTCCTCGAGGGGAAAATGTGTGGGGGAAGAGATATCGAAGAAAAGTTTTGATGTCAAGACTCGGCTAGAAGTGGCCATTTACGAAAACGATGTCAATAGCAGAAACCTAAGAAGGAACAGGGGAAGTGGAACTTGTTAGTTTCCAGTCTCGACGGAGTTACCAGGTTGTTCCAAAAGTAAACCCCATTTTCAAATAAATCAAACTATTTTTGTTTTTCTAGCAGGCCTAGGGTATCATCACAGAGCGAAGCAACCTCTACAGAAAGATCACAAATATTCCCCCTAGCCGTGATCCTTGTAAACTTTGGAGCCAAGGATTGGTATTTCAACCGCTCTAAAAAGGATCTTCTTCTAGAAAAATCCTACGGGCCTCCTGCTCCAGCCATTTATTATAGTAGGTATAGGTAGAAGTATCCATAAATGCATTTGCGGATTGTTTTGCTCATACAAATGAGAAAAAAACTAGTAAAAATGGCAAAACTTAAACTCCACCCCCACTTTCTTTTGAAATTGGATACTGCAGGTCTTGGTGACTATGACCTTGAAGCGTGGTGATTGAGAAAAATCAAGTTTAGCGTAATGGAAAACGCGCGAAAAGTAACAATTTTGCATTTTCGTGAAAATTTCATTTCCTAATTTTGAGCCCAGAAAAAAAAAACAGCAGATGCATGTTTAAGATCTACATGTGTCTGGTGTATAATGACCAACTTGGAGTCCGTAGGAATTTTTGGAAGGAGACCGGATTTTTATGGTGGTTAAAAAAATAAATTTTGGCTTCAAACATTGCCTTTATTGTGAATTGGACGAACCTTTGGTGTTCATTATGTAGAGCTTGCTTCCCTCTACCAAGCCATATCTTGAATCTGGAAGGAAGGCAAAAACAGCTTGATAAATCCAAAAAAGGTGTTTACTTTTGGGACAACCTGATACTCGCAGAATTCTGATTGTTATGTGTGGCTCAATTTTTTTCTAAGAGTCCGCAGGACCATAGACTATCATAGTACGATATCTCTTAACATTGCTGCGCTAGCGGTAATTTTAACGGTATTATCGTGGATTGATTATTTACCGAGATTAATCTGAAAAATCAAGCAATATGACAAAACTTTACTCTTATAGTCAGTATGTAATAAAATGTAATCATGTGGAGGAAAATAGTCGAGGAAAAAAGAATTTTGGAAAGTGCTTATTATGCAGACTAGTGTAAAACACCGGATCACAAATGATGACTCAACCTTCTTCAAACTGTTCAGTAGGAATCCATCACTTCAGTGTGGTTCGATATAGCAGACGAGTTCTCCTGAAGCGCTAAAAGTACACTTATCAAACTGCTCCAATAGACTCATACTCAAACATAGAACTAATTACCGCTTAAAAGTTTAAAATTATGCTTTAACTTTTTTGGAAGATATATAGTTCTAGTTCTGAAAATTGTCTTTCTAACCCCACCTTGTACATCTTCGTTAGCCACAGTGTAGATCTTGTAGGATTTGCCACCTTCCACCAAATGAGGTGGCAATTTCCTCTTTCCATCAACAGAGTAGACGAAACCTTCTTCAGATTCACCGCTTCCTTCTTTGAATTTCATGGGATCAGTTCCGCCTGCGGAAGAGTTGCTAGTGACTAGTAAGGCTTCATCTGAACTGTCTTTTTCTTGGGGAAGTTCTGATAAGCTGGAATTCCCAGTAAGAATTCTGGCCACAGTAAGATATTCATCATCAGGTCCGTCAGTTTCTGCACGGGAACTTCTGGTCAATTTAAGCTCTGGACTTTTTTCTGTTCCCGAAACCGTAGAATTGGAATCGTCCCCCACATCAGGGACTGTGGAGTTGTCAGCTTCTTCAAGTTCGTCCATGCTTATATGGTTATATTCTCCCAGTTTTTTACTAGTCTCTTGCTTTTCCATCTCTAGACCATACTCCTTTGTAAAAAGTTCACGCATGGGACTGATTTGACTCAATGCGGAAATTCCTGGATTATCAATGGGAGAGACTGGTGAAAGAAGTAAAGGTAGCTCCAAAAATGGATTATCCATCAGGATCGGTTCAGCCAAAGGATTAGGTAGACTTGCACCGGCTGCTCTCTGAAAATTTTGCGAAATGACGAAAAAATGGAATTGCTGAGAAATAAATGAGTCATTTACATGTTTTTCGGAATACATCCGCTTTATCTCCTCATCCAACTCCGGATCAATTCGAAAACTGTGACGCCCCTTTGACGTTAAAAATTCACAAGTACGGGGTAGCAAACCACCCAGGAATGAAGTCAAATAAGTTGCCGAGGGAAAAGCTTCTGCTTCTTCAGACAGTGGTCGAGTGAGCATTTCCTAGTAATCAGGTTTGCTCTTTTAGGGCCGTTTCAAGGACCAAGCTTACCATGAGAAGCGAACCAGCAGTACCGTCACAAAGCATATTGAATTTCAGTCGAGTACAACCCATAACACATTCGGCTATTCTAAAACTTTCTTAACAGGGCGAGATGAGAACGAATGGGCGAGGGGGATGGGAGGGAGGGGGAAGGGAGGAGGAAGAAGAAGGGTTGAATTCAGCCTAATAATCAATCACTCTTCAAACTAATTGATTACTATTCCGTTTCGCCCTCAACTAAAAGTTCAAATTTTGCTCTCTTCAGAATGGCCGCGTCCAGGGTGCCCGTGTCAGCATCGTTCTAGCGCTGTACTGGCCCTCTGTCGAAATCCAAATAAACTCCGTACAATGATCGATCGACATTCCTTGGCACACTTTTGACACGACACTAGCACGGCGATGGCACGACGTTGGATCTGTGCCAGCACGCGAGCAACTCTGGACGCAACTGAAGAGAAAGCCCAGAGAGTAACTAGATGGAAAAAAACTGATGAAAATCTGCTCAACAATTTGCGATGATCTTCTTTCGATATGCTGGTGATTGTTTGCTTCGACAGTTTGAGAATAGCTTGCAAATTAGATGAATATGTCTTGATATGTCGAGAATTTTGAAAGTTCACAGTTTTTTTTCATGAACAGAAGCTCATACGACTTTTCTTTATAGCTTTCTCCTCCCTCCTACTCCCTTTCCCAATTATTTTTTTCTGAGAATGAATAAACTACCTGCAGCTCTCGCTGAAGAATAATCTGGGCATATGTGGTTCAATAATCCGCCGCATATTCACGTTTTTACTGACAACCGGGTGATCCAATTGTGTCATTACCGTGTCCTTCAACATAAGTCCAGCAGCTAGCGAGTTTGAGTGGCAATGGCGATCACAGTCTAAGAATTTAGATATTTTCCTTAATTGGAATCGAGGACTTACCTTCCTTAACCCGATGGCTATTTTGATCAATACAGTCGACCACTGCCCTGAATGCTGAAAAACAATACCTAGATTTTTAGAAGTCCAGCAGATCTGCTCCTGAGCAGCGTCTAGCGGCAACCGTGCCAGCGCGAGCCAGCGTCAGTCCAGCAAATGCCAGCGCAATGATAGCGGCGTGTGGCCCACGTAGATGTCTCCCTTACTGATCGATCAACGACACGGCTCTGGGACTGCGCTGGCACGGAACTGACACGGCAACTATGAACGCATCTCACCTTCAACTTGCTCCTCGCACATGTACTTCAAGCCACTAGTCATCGACTCAAACATCGAATCTGTTCCACAATGGCTATTAAACATCATGCATGCTTGTGCTTCATAGTATGCTCTAGAAAGTTCAAAGATGCTATAATTACTTAAAGGAAAAGGGATATCAAAACCAATGTTGAAGAACAAAAGAAGATTTTCAACTTACTGGCATGACTTGTACATGCTCTCCTTGAAACTTTCTGAACGGAAAAAAGCTCCAGTAGTCGAAGTCATAACTTCAACCACTGGAGTGCTACAAGCTGTATGGCATGGCGCTGGATTGATATCTGTAAAGGAAATTGTTTGCTAATTCAGAAGAAATATTGATTTTAGCATGTTTCTTGCTTTTGTTTCTCTTTAGAGTATACGGCTTCACGAATTTTTCAGTAGAAGTTGACTAAAAAATCCCATACTAAAATAGAGAATAGATTAGCAACTTTTAGTCCTTTGATTATGTGCGAAAATTCAAAAAAAACATCATAAAACTTTAGTGAAGTCATCGCACGCAGAGAATGGACGCCATCGCGTCCGAGGAAGACAATCCATGATTGAAGAGACAGTGACGGCAAGAGTGACGCAGACAGTTAGTTTGCTGGTGATCGTTTCTGCGACGATTCACTACACTAAGTTGCGTCAACATACCGTACTTGTCGCTATTTGTCCAGAACGTGGGCTGCTCGACATCAGAAGACCTTCCAGAATGATCCAGCGGTGATTTATGGCTGCTTACTGAATATATATGAGCATCAGAGAAATTGAAGATTGGATTTTCTTAACCGCTTTACCTGGGTGCTGTACGATTTCACAATTTGAAATGATTAGTAGAGAATAAAACAGTGTCACTATTACCCATTCAATTTCCATGTTATTATGGCGGACCATAGGAGGACTTGAAAGAAGATTGATGGAAGAAAGTAATAAGATTTTATACGTTGAAGATTCTTAAGCAATCATTCATCTGCATGCTAGAAACTTTCATTAACTCTCAATTTGAACAACCTCGATATTTGACTTAAAAACACAAAAGTAGTTTTTTCCTTTCACTGCACAATTTTAAAGCAATCTTTATGCTTCACAATGAAACGCAATGCACCCCTCTTTGCATAAGATTTCGAGTTAATTACCATCTTCACAATCATTGCAGTGAGCCTGGAGCTAAAACAACTTTGCGTTTTTTCTTTAACAAATGATTTTAGTTTTCCTCTTTAAGTCACTATTATCAAGCTATGTGTGTTGGTTCTCGTAGTCCCTTTAATATCATTCATTCACAGATTTTCGGCAAACTTCTGTTGTGTTTTATTTTCAATTTTTGAAAATCGCAATGAAAGTCGTTACTTCCAAAATTTTTCAACCGCGCTGAACCTATCACAACTCGCTAGGTCGAATAACAAATTATTTTTCACTTTGACAGTGCTCACTTTTGATTAGGAACAGATTTCACTTTTCAACTCTATTAAAAGAATAATCCACACTGCTTAGTGTTTTTATAGCCTACGTATATTCCTGAAAAAAAAACAAATTCTCATTTTTGAATGTTTTGTACTGTCAGAAAAGAACCTACAACATTTTTAAACAGAATCGAGAATGCTTGTGAGAATTGTTGTTGCCGGTTGAGCACACATTTCTAGTAGAAAGGAAATAAGAGGAGCGAAAATGCCTAGAGCTTATCGTTGGTAGGTCACTAAAGCAAAAATGGCAAATTCTTTTCCTTTCAATCATTTTAGCCCTTTTTTATGAGTAAGCAACTATGGAATGAACATGAGCTTCGAACCACGATACTTCTGCGATGATGTACGTAGAAATAACATGGGCTTTATTTCTGTCAACCCAATCTTTACAAAGTTGGTATTTTTTAAGCTTTCCCTGAAGCTGTTCGAAGCGTAGCACTGACACCTATGGAGTACTGATTTCTTAGCGCTTTGAGCACGATTTTCAACCTCATCATTTTCGTCAATGTCTCGTAGTAACTAAGGAATCCAAACCCGATTACACCAAGCAATGGAGGCATAGTTTTATCCAAATTATTCACAATGAGGGAACATCGGAAAAGCATTATCACATAATTACAAGAAGATCCATGAGCGTGTGATCAGTGTGGGTCTGACAGTGCACAGTAGATCTTATTACAAGTAGCCTGTCTAGTAATCATAGTAAATCAGTACGGTTTAGTTCCATTTTATAAAAATTAGTATTTATTTTTGAACTGTCCCTTTCTTAGTTTGAGTAGTTCACTCTTCGTCACGATGAAATGGCATCGTTTGTCGAGTTTCTTCTCAATGAATTCTTTGAGTGCCGGCGACGTGTTCAGCACTTTATCGGCGACGAAATCAAGCGGTTGAAGAAGCACGTCCTACAAAACACTCGGTCAAGTATTGATCGATATTGATTAGAAGGAAATTTACCAAGGTAAGCCATCCACTGAGAGGGCAGACTTTGTTCAGCTCCATAGTTATGCAAGGAAGCTCACATTGGAGAACACTGTAAAAATCAATCAGTAATTTTAGACAAAACCCATAAAGATACTAAGAAATAAGTTAAATTTTTTAAATCTAAATCAATCATAAAATGATGGACAATCAAAATTAAATTTCTTAGTTCCTTCAAAAAATCAAAATAAGACTAATGTAGGGTTTCCTGTGAGATTGCGACTTGCAAAATGCAGGTAACTGGGATGTCTTTTCGACTACCGTGACGCACACGCAATGCGCCGAGTACTCACGAAGAAATCAATACTCCTCCTGACTTACCATATTTCTAAGAATAATTAAGCAAAATGCACCAGATTCCGTAGGACTTTTGCAGGTTTTACCTCCTTATATTTATCCATTCCATTGGTTGGTTTTTTACAACTTAATATTTTAAAAATTCACCAACCTGCACAGACTTCCAACTTGACCGGCGACTCCTATGAGATCTCCACCGCTTTTCGATGCTCTGACAACAACTGGATGGTTCAGAAATGCGCTAACAGTGGAACGACCTTTGCATTTTGCGTCGCAAGCTGCAAAGAATTTACGCTGTGCTAAGTATGTTTATCGATTGAGTAAGCGGTGGAAAACATACTCCGTACAGCGCTATCTGCGTGTTTTTCCAAGCATGGCCGCATTTTTTCGAAAAGTGGTGCCCGCTCTCCACACATTTTCTCTATGGCACTGGCAGCTGTCTTGAAGATTTGATGTACGTCACAAGATGGATTTCTTTGTAAGCATTGCATAGCCATGGAGTGTCCCCTGAAACAGGGAATTTTTCGAAAATGTAAAAAAATGCAAAAAAAAAATTGCAGAGCAAAAATCACTCACTGGCACAAGGGTTTCGCTTTCTGAACGATGTTATGTAAATCCCAAATACTAGCTATTTGCGTCATCAGAGGATCAACACACTTGCGGATACATATTGGCACTCCTAAGGCCCGCATAAGAACATCGGCGTCAAATTCTACAAGAAAAAAAAACGTTATTTTTCCACCAAAAAAAATTCATCACAGTTTAAATAAAATTATATTTTGCTACAAATTTCTATTTTTTTTCTTTTTCGAATTATCCCGTGCAAAATTAGGAAATTTTGAAATTGTTCAGTCACTCGTTGAAACCTTTAGAAAAATTCTAGCTAATCGATAATAGTAGTTCATTTTCGATCCTTTATTACCATTTTTCACATACACGGGTTTCTCAAAATTATGCACCTTTTGAATTTTTGAGAGGATAATCACTCTTTGATTTGGAAACGTCTAAAAACGATTTTCACATTTATTAAGCATTTAAAAAAATAGCTAAAAAAACCGCACCATTTCTGCTGCCTTCCATAGATTATTTAGATGATTCCATATCATAAAAGGCTAGTCAAATTCGGTCAAAAATTTTGTGTTTATCTTTCTCAACAGTTTTTGTCAAATTTACTCAATCATCGCAAAAATTCATCACGGTTCGAATCCATACTTCTATTTTGTATATTACTTTATTGTCTCGCGATATTACTAAACTACGAAGAAATCTTCAATTTTTTCCAAAACGAACTTACTTGATCCATAATCGGGATCCACTCTTGCTACCGCCAATGGAAAGATAAGCAAGAGCAAGTATAATTGCATGAAATCTATAAAAAATACACTTGCTAAGCAGAAATCAACAGAGCGAACAGCGGAGAAAGAAAGACAGCAAAAATGGGGACAAGGCCATGCCAGAATTCTTAGCAATCCAAATACAATTGATTTGCAATTTTTGGCGCGTGAATTTGAGACTTGTAGATCACGAAGGAGTAGGACATGTCAAAGTTTTTGAAACTTGCAAAAGCCTTAAATTCTAGTAGTTTGTAAATTATAAAACTTGAGTTTAAGTAAATTTCTGAATAGAAAATGAAGAATTTCAACTCAAGACTGACAAAATAACACCACCATTTTGTGGACATGCCTACTGCCTTTTTATAGCAGAGACAATGACCTGGACAGGATGATGGCATTGCTATGTCCACAGGGCAATAAGACAGTTTTCACACCACATATGTAGGGACCAGAGGTTAGGCTGCATCACCCTGGGCAATGTCCAAGACATTTTCTAGTAAATCTTCATTCTGAGCTATGGTTCATTCAAAGTCCGCACGGTAATTATGATAACGAAAGTGGGCAGTGATTTCCATAGTTTATTCAACAAAATCTGAGTTAAGGGGCAGGCATACATCACGCGATTTGGCAATTCGCCAGAAGTCTTAGGGTTCAACACTAACAAACTGGACATGCATAGTGTGTATAATTTACGTGAATTGATAAAATGGCCTATCTTCTGTGCATTCAAAATGTGTTTACAATGAGCTATGGAGAGTTGGAATATTGCCAAATCGCGTCGAGACTGAAGATCGCTTGAAGTATGCCCGGCCCTTTAGGTGATCCATAGTGGTAAACTTCTTGAGATTTTTGTCAGTTCTGTACAATTTGAAAAAAAACTATGGAAATACATCCGTTGTCTGAATGTTTGTTTCAAAACAAGCCGCACAAGATTACGGCTACGGTACAGCGTTTTTGCGTTAGGTATGGTAGATGCGGTGCAGGAGGAACCAAAGGCATGCCGCCTGTAGCCGTAGGAGACAATTAGGAGCGCGAGCATTGTGGGTAAGATTTTGGCGAGGATCCAAGAAAACTTGGCGAGGACATCGATGGAAACAAACCCATAGAACTCTTCTTAGAATCAACTTTCAGAAATACGAAGAATAGATTTGGAATCAGTATTGAAATGCGCATTTTTCAGTAATACTCCTGCCGGATAGATAAACAACTCTGTCTCGCTACTCGAGTTTTATTTTTACCATTAAAACATCACCATTTTTTTAAACTGAGTCTTCAGAATTTACCATGAAAAGCTGAGAAATTTCAAGTCCAATGTTATGTGAAAGATTGGAGTGTTTCAAGTGCAATTTCTGAATTTGAAGTTGAAAGTAGGGAGCGGTAATCAGGAAATAAGGTTATCTAATGTAAGTTGCATGTGATGAAATTTGCTATTGTGTTCGACCTCGAAAGGATTACTACCTAGTTTCAATGGCAAATCCTATGGAAATCTCTACTAAAATTTAGAATCAGAATAGTTTTGAAGTAATGAGACAAACTGCATAGTGCATCTTGACACAAACCTCCAGATGTTTTTTTATGACATTTTGATTGCTTTGGTTCATTGACTTAATAAGCAAACTATTCCCTTATCTCCAAAAAAAATAAAGAATGAATCTTGGATGAAAACCCCGGACTTCAAGAATTTTAGATTTTAAAATTCATAAAACAAAAAACAAAAGTTTCTACAAAGAAGTTGACCTTTGTTACCACTACAGTTCCGAATTTTCACTTACTTTTAGGCCCATTGAATACGCCTTCCAATTTGCCTTGAAAATCTGTGTTTCAAAATTTTCAAACTCATCTCCAGGCAAAATTATGAAGATTTGTTCCTAAGGGTTGTAATTGCCAAATTTTCTTGGATCCTTGCCAAAATATTCTCCATAGCGCTCGCGCTCTTAATTATCTCCTGCGGATACAGGCGGCAGCCCTTTGGTTCCTCCTGCACCACCCCCTTCTGAAAACTGTACGTATCCATGTACAATAAAAGGATGCGTATTTCAAAATTTATTAGAAAGTCATGCAAGCGTTTGCGGACCCCTAGCTTTGTTTCCTCTTTACATTTGATTCAAAAATAATCCATTCTGCAAGAACTCCATTTGCCTTGTCCCTTCTTCATAACCATCAATGTATGTGGATATTCTTTTGAAGAATTTCTGTTACACTTTTTTTTGTGAAAATCTGAAAAATTCCAGAAGCTCTAGAATCTTCAAACTTGCTCAATATGTAGGGCATGGTTTGGCGTACACGACAATATGATTGATGCCGCAAATGCACAAAACAGCTAGAGGGGGGGTAGACCTTTGCAGCATCCAACAGTCGTTCATAAAAATTTTCGAGAGTTTCTGAGATTTTTAAGAAATAAAAATTAAAGTGTAATGAAATTGTCTGCTAACCTAATATTAGTGTTGGCTATAGCCATAGAAATTTTATGGAGGAGAGAGTTAGGAAAATGAAGATAATTTCTTGTGATGAGCAGACTGTTATTAGTTTCATTCGAGAAGTTTTTGGGATACTCCACAAATACTGCAAAAGTTCTAAAGGCTTGAAGGAGCGTCCAGGCAGAATCTAGACTTCTGTTTTTTTGCGTTATCCAGACCTTTTCATGGCGCTGATTAAAGATACGACACTCAAAATGCGTCAATTCCTCAAAAAACTCCTATTTTTGAGACAATTTTGAGAAGCGTGGACGAGTGCCTCAAAGTGCACATCCTTGTCGTAAGCGAGCATCAAGAGGTAGACACTATGTTTTGTGTTTGCCACGTGAAAACACGTTAAGGGTTGAGGACCTCGTTCAACGGGGCGGGCCGTGCAAGGGAGTGGGCGTGGTCCTCAAGGCCCGGCGATTTCTGCGCCAATTTTCTCGTTTTACACAAATACTGGAGAGATTTTAGTTAAGCAAATGTTACAAATAAGCAAAATATTGTGTGTTTGTAACAATAAATAATGAATAGAAATCTGATTGTTTGAGACTTGAAAATCCATTTTTACATATTTTCAATGTTGCAGTTCCAATGTTCTGGAGAATAATTATACAACTAGATCAAACTGGGTCACACAGAATAAGCCACATATTTAACGACAACCTTCCCAAACTGATTTTTTTTTGGAAAAAAAGGTGCTTCATGATGAAGTTGGATAGTCGGAGTTGAATAATCGTTTTCCCATTGTTTTGCTAATTTTGGGATAAATCGAAATATGAGCTGTTGTTAGCTTTAGTTTTCCAATGCAGCGCAAATGCCCTGTGTCGCTTTGGTATTTTTCCAAACGATTATGGTAACAACGACTTCATTCGTAATTATCTTTATTTTAGAATGATTGATAACACAATTCTCAGTAGCAAATACGGAGTGTCCAAAAGAATCTCTCAACTGTTTGATAATTAACATCTCTTTTGCGATGCCTTTCGCCAATTTTTAGTTCTTTATTTAAAATAGGCTTCTTAGATTTGCAGCGTGCTAATCTTGCCCAGAAAACCTTTTAAAATAAGTAGAGTTTTCCAAAGTAAATTGGAGCTGCTGATGATTACCGGTTCTAAATCTAGGCGAGATATACAGGATGTCCCACAAAAATGTATTGAACGTTTGATCGTTAATATCTCTCTTCCCAAGAAGTCTTTTGCCTTGCTTCAGGTACCGTTTTGTAGAGCTGGCTCCAACTTAGATTTGCTTTATAGAACGAATCACCCATCCCTCTTCCTTACTGTAGGATTACGGTAGAAACTTAAAACATATGGTGTCAATGTAGAAAAAGCTGCCGTTTCAAAATTTTTCAAAAAATTGTGAAAACTTGTGTAACAGGGCTTTTATGGACACTGAGTTCAATACGCAACTATTCACAAGATTACGTACCTTTCTAAACGGTGTAACCGCACTTTTTAGGATCATTGAAAAAATGGCAACTACCTCTTACCTGGCATAACTCTTCAATGAAGCATCATAATAAGTTTAGAACTTCACAGTTGAAATCAGCAACTCTAATTATCCTAGTGTAAAAGTTTTCAGGCTGTTTTGTTTCTTTTCTGAGGCAAAATATGGCCTTTCACGGCTCAAAACCCTCTTTGAAGTTTCTACCGTAATCCTACAGTAATGAAGAGAGATGGGTGATTCGTTCTCTACTGAAAATTTAAGTTGAAGCCAGTTCTACAGATTGGTACCTGAAGCAAGAAAATAGACTTCTTTAGAAGAGAGATATTAACGATCAAACGTTCGATACATTTTTTTGGGACACCCTGTATTAGGTTGTCAAGAAAACAATGTCGTTTTTATCTGTTTGCTTCAACAAAGCAACCAGGATCAGCCCTACAAAGAGTAAGGGGTATTGTTCGATAGAGCAAAGCTAGCTCTACAAGGTTTATGATTTTGCACCAAGCTTGATCGACGAAAAGTTTGAACTCTAAGTCTAAAAACTTCCAAATGCTCAAAAAATCAAAAAAATCAGATCTTCGTCCACATAATTTATACCGACCTCCCATTCACACACGTCAATGTTTTCGATATCAGGCACTCATATGTGCAGTTGCTGTATTTTCTCCTTGATTAGAAACAGAGAAGACGAAAATTTTCATGATTTTCACAAAGCAATACTGAGCTCTTCTTGCATATGAAGTTCTATACTACAAGTCTAGGTAAGTATAATATAACTTTAGATTTTCAGCCCATTTCGAGCGGTAGTTTTCGAAAAAGATTGAAATCAGCTTTCTTCTTTTCAGCTTCAGTGCCGAAATCGATATTCGAAAACTACCGCTCCGAATGAGCTTAAAATCTACAATTACGCTTGACTAGGTTTGTAGTATAAAACATATGCAGGAACGGCTCAGCACTGCTTTGAGAATATGGAAATTTTTGTTTTATCAGTTTCTAGTCAAGGAAAAAATACAACAAGTGCACGTATGGGTGACTGATATTGAAAGTATACTTTCAATATATCGACGTCTATGAGTGGGAGGTCCCATTGAATTATTTGGATGAAGATCTGAATTTTTTTCGATTTTTGTGCATTTGGAAATCTTTAGATTTCGAGTTCAAACTTTTCGTCGATCGAGCTTGATGCAAATTTATGAACGTCATCTTGCAGAGCTAGCTTTGCTCTATCGAACAGTATCCATTATCCTTTGTTGGGTTGACTCTGGTTGCTTTGTTAAAGCAAGCAAACAAAAAACGACATTATTTTCTTGACAACCTAATAGGTCATTTGGAAGTCTTAACGGCGGATTTGACTACGGTCTTTGCGCCCAGAGGAGCATGAAACGCTCATACAAAAAGGCACTACCTCATCTCTCAGCTCAGTCACTTCCAATGTCTAAATGCTATAAGCAGGAAAAGCATTGCAAGAGATGAAAATCAAGAAAATAGCGTTGCTGTGTATGCGTGCGTGTCGCGCGCGGTCGCATCATCGTCACGATTTTTCGAATCCCCTATACACTTAACGATGCTATCCCCGAAGTTTGTCAAAAACCTGAAAACGTCATCAAAACCACTTTACAAACATGGAAAAAGTTATTTATTAGAAGTCGCGCATCTGAAAACATTACCGGAATGGTTCAATACGATTTTCTAAATCAGTAAGTTTACACCGGCGCTATTGCTGGAAGTTCTTATTGTAATCCTACAGTAACGAAATGCGACAAATAATTTGCTCGACAACATAAATATAACTAGAATCCCGCTCTATAGGATGATGCTATATAGGCGGCAAAGGCGAATGTAGAGAGATTAACAATCAAATATTGAGCATACTTTCTGAGACATTCTATAAAGTAATTTCCAAGAGATAAAGTGATGGCACCAGTGCTTTATCGAGAAGCTGTCGTTCTGAAAAATTACGTGAAAATAAACACTGAGTGAAATCTAATTTATGAACCATTTTTTCGCCAAGTTCAGCTGAATCACAAGTTAAAAAAAGAAAGAAAAACCTTAATTAAATTTCTGAAAATTCCGCCTTCCATGCGCTTGGGTATTCAATCGGTTCGTAATAGGGACCCTGTGGTTGTGGTGGTGATACAAAAACCATTTTCATCACGTTTGTTGATGACTGGAAATACTTCGTTGGCGGGGTTTGAAGCGGCACACTGAAACGACTTTTCACTTATGAAAGAAAAATTCACTTTTGAAACTCACGTGTCAGAAGGAATGATATCGATTACGGAATTATAAAGCTTAATTGTGCTTCTAGGGTGGATGTTGAGATGAAGAAAGCGAATTCGTACTAGTCCACCCGGAGACACTGTCATGATATAGAAGCAAGATTTAAGTCCGCGATAAAATTCTGGGTAGCCAGGTGAATATATCTGCAACTGGTTCTTAATTTGCGGAACTATAGTGTTTTTTGAAAATCGATTCGACAAACCGTGCCGTTCTGCTCAAAAAATTGAGGTGTTCCACAGGAGCCGGGTGCCATTGTCGGTAATGGAAGCTCAGAGTATGATGTGATGTTGAAACATGCTCCTCGTGCTGAAAGAAGCTATTTTATGAGTAACTCTACAGGCAATGTCCTTCACCGCTACTGTTATTTTGTTTTTCGGAAGGACAAACAATGTATTGATTAAATGTTTTAGGTCACTATTCTATTTATAGACCGAATCGAATGACTATTCAATTTTTTAGTTTGCATTCTTCCTGTTATGTGCTCTGCTGCTCTCTGTTCTCCCCATTCTTGGTTGAAGGCTTGTTCATTTATTTCAAATTTTTTATATCTGCGTCGACTCAGAGCCATCGCAACACAAATCTTCCTCTTAGCCTCTTCTCTGGTAAGTTCACTGTCATGGCCAGCCTGGTTATGTGGCCTCCATCTCGCCGACTTACTTGTCCAGACCATCACAGACGTCTTTCTTGCATCTTTTTGAAGGCGCGACCTTCATTATGCTCTACTGTATCATTCGTGATATAGTCTAGCATGGTAACCCCTACGGTCCATCTCAGCATCCGCGTCTCCATTACGTTGATCTTACCTCTCTCATTGCGAGTGCAGGCCAGCATTCGCTCCCATATTGTGCCGTTGGTCTTGCTACTGTGTGGTAATCAGCGAAGCCACACGAAAACCTGTGTGCCTAGCGCAATGTCAGTGCGCACTGCTCATCGAGTTCGATCGCGCGTGCACCCGCAAATTTTGCGGCGACCAAGGCATGGTCGTGAGGCTCCCGCCAGAGTGCCGAAGTTATGCCAGCGCTACGCCAGCATTTCGATCGATACACGTGTATTTCGTTGGGGACGTCAGCTGGCCCCGCCCCAATGAAATACACGTGTATCGATCGAAATGCTGGCGTAGCGCTGGCATAACTTCGGCACTCTGGCGGGAGCCTGAGCAGCATGTACTTCACCTGGAAATGTCATTTCCTTTTTTTTTAGATTGCGACATTCAGAGATTTACTACGGGTTCGAGCTACGAATAACACTCAGAACCATTCAGGCCTTTGAGGAAGACGAAAGGCTTCGAAATTCAAGGCCGTAGTTGAAAGAAATAAAAAACCACATCCCAGACCTCTACGGAACAAAAGAAACTTGAACTCAGAGGTGTTTTTTTCTTTTGTACTGTTATATTTATTGATTGAAGGTTTTTCTTAATGTGACGTCAAAGCGGATCTCGTAAGATTCAACGAAGTCATGGGAGACTCCGTTCTCAAAATTTCAGTAATTCATTGCGTGCCGGGCCCTGTTATTTTTCTTCAGTCGCGTCCACAAATGTTCTGGTTCTTCTTCCATTTTTGGCAAAGCTGACTCCATTGCTGCTTTGGCTTAAAGGGTGTCGTTGAGCTTCCACCATTTGTTGCGCTACCTACTATTCGTCATTGCTTTTCTTCTTCTATCGATGGGATGTTCGACTCTGAATGCAGCGGCTGTTTTGAGGTTGGCAGCCTTCGCCAGGAATGACTTTGTTGTCCCTCGCGTTGAAGCACATCCTGTCGCATCTTCCATCTTCCATTTGCGGTCTTAGTTCTCCACTGGAGAAGTGACAAGGTGATTGGTTTTCCTAATGAAGCATGTGTTTGAATGCACAGTCATGAGCCGTTACAAACTCCAGAATACACTCTCTTTCGTCGTTACGGCTTCGTTCGCTTGCCCTGCCCATGGTTTCCATGAGTTTACGAAAGCTACTTTGTTGTTCTCGTACTCGTTGAGATAGTGAGATATGTTCCAATTAATAGCTTCTGTTCTTGTGGTATTGCGATAACGTAGTTGTCGAGTTTTTGAAAGAACTTTTTCTCAGCTTCTGCGCCTTTGTGGATATATGCCGTTTACTCAGAGTTTCTACTTTTCCATATCTACTCTTATTCCCATCAAACGGTCCTTTATCTGATCCACAGTTATCTCAGCGTTTCGGAAGCCACTATCCCGACAACATTCATGCTGCTGCTTGTTTTCTTGTACAAAAGCTTGAATCCATCGCCGATGTCTCGTGTCTTTTCTCCTTTCCATTAGGTTTCGTGAAAGCAGGCGATGTCTGCTTTGCGTTTTTTGAGAAGATCTGCTACTTCTCAGTGTCGAGCTTAAAGAGATTCAACATTAAGTGTAACTAGACGTAGCTTTTCCGAAACTTATCTGCCTATGATAAGCAAGCTTCTTTAGCTTTCCCGCTCACCTTGTTTAGGTGGTGCCCTAGCATACTGCTCGCATTCGTCAGGCTTGAGTGCGCCATATCTCGAGAAACTTCCTAGTTCAATTCGAAGATTTTCTTGGAACATTGAAGAGCATTTTGATGCGACGGGGGTTTTCTTTAGCCTACTTGACGCGTGTTTCCATTGAACGAGCACCTGACACTGGACCTGTGAGCAAGAACTTGGCCAAAAACTTAGCCTCTGCGCGAAAACGAACCCGCGACCTTTTTAGCCAGAAACAAGAGCACTAACCGGCCATCTCTGCCCCTACTCAGATAACTTGGGGGGGGGGGGCAGGCTGTCCACTCGCACTTTTCTTCAAGCTGTAGCAAAATTTTGGGGCGTGGCCAAATCTTCAGCAAGCGGTACTTCCGTGTTCTGCCAGCGGTCAGCAAAATTTTGGGGCGTGGCCAAACCTTCAGCGGACGGCACATCTTTTACGGTCGCATATTCTGCCAACGGGCAGCAATACAGCATTTTCTGCAAGCGCTCGGCAAATAACTTCTTTCAGCCAGCGCAGGCAAACTTTCAGCAGGCGCTTGGACTCTTTTTGTGCAGTTGCGTGCGTACGCCGAGCAAAAGTAACACTCTACATAACAGAGGTGTCATCGATTCAATTACACGAGTTTGGGGTACTTTCTTCGGCGGAGTGTATTTACGGGCTGTGCGGTCTTCACAAGAGACCGTGCGGCCCCCAATAATTTTGCATATTCTCGCGGAAGGTCCGCCGCGAGAATTCGGCCGCTGCGCCGTAACTAATCTATGAAGAAGCCGCAGTTGTTCTCCGAGCATTCGTTTATAGTATATCCATTCGTTTCGAATATCATCAAAATTTTTCCAAACTAGTGAACCGCGCGACCTCGTGTGCTGCATGCCGAGGAGCGCATAAGACTCGCGGTTTGCATCTCAATTAATGCACCCAAGCAGTGTACCAGATTTTGATTAAGTGTATGCGTGGAAATGTTTGCCCGTAGAAACACTCGGGGGAACCATCCCCAAATATCTTTACAGGCAAGTTGCCCATATTCCCTCCGAATTCTTTCCTAGGTGGATTCCAATGGTTACATCTTTCCACTTTTCCTCTCTCCTAAAACTAACTCAGAGTTCCTCTATGGCCCACACTCTTTTCCTTATTTTCCCGACTAAAGTACCAGGAAAACCCTTCTCCACAAATTTCTTCAATGAGAGTGCTGGTTTTACGGTGCCCATTCTTCCTCCTTGCCCAAAAATTTGTTTATTTATTTTGCACAAAATTGCGCCCATCATAAAACAGCAGAAAAACCAAGTAGTAGTCAGTAAGGAAGTGAAGAAAAATGAAACACTAAATCTGGACAGAAACTTGAAAGCAATATGTAAAAACACTCATTCAGGTACGTAATTTTGATATGAAAGAGTGAGACCAAGGCGAATGGGCGAAACCATGCGTACCACGGTTAATCAGCTGAGCTCACCTACTTGCTGCATATCATGAGGCTTTATTTGCAATAGCTGCATATTTGCAGAAATGGTAATAGACCGAATCATCTTATGGCCAGAGTACCCAAGTTTCTCACCCACCCCTCCCTTACCCCCCCCCCTTTCCCCACGATCTTCTCCCAAGTGCCTTGTCAGATCAGATTCTAACTCTTTCTCGCCGTTTTTCTACCTCATCCCATTTTAGAGCCTAAACTTCTCGTTCTCTAGCGAAAGTGCCCGAACTTCCTTCCTTCAGAACTTTTCCAAACGAGAGCATTAAGTTCCACGGTGCCTATTCTTCCCCTTTTCCAAAGCTGGTAGCTAAACGAATCTTTTTATGGCTAGAGTGCCCAAAATTTTACCACCCCTACTCCCCCCCCCCCCCTCCCCTCCCTCCCTACAGAAATCTCTCCTAACAAGGAATGCGTGTTTAGTCGAAGTGGCTTTTCTGGATGGGACGTGTACCATATTGAAAGGCATGAATTACTGATTCCAAATCTGCCTTCCTTATCTGCAGAGCGTTTATGGACAAGGAGTTATGAGCGCTTTGGGGCAAAAAAAATTGAATGCGCAAGTAGAACAAAAATAGCCATAATATTTTTTGTAGCTCTTCAATGGAGCCGTGATAATCATCAGAGCACTTTGTTCAAATAATACTCTCAAATAAAAAATATACCACACTTGGTTGCATTATTTGAGGGCTGATAAGATTTTAGCAAATCATTTTTTTCCAAAATGCACGTTTAGTTTCTGGCTTCAAAAAACGCTCATAACTTCCCATGCATAAACGCTCTGCAGATAAGGAAGGCAGATCTGGAGCAGCGTTTTATGCCCTCCAATATGGTATACATCTCATTTAGAAAGGCCACTTCGACTAAACAGGCTTCCCTTGTAAGTGCACTGTCAAGCTGTCAACTCTTTCCGTTAATTTATCAACTCAAATTCCTTTATGGCCCAGCCTCCCCTCCTTAGGTTTACTGACCAAAGTACCAGAAAAACCCTCCTCCAGTGGCCGTATTCATCAACGAACCCTGAGGGTTACACTTACCCTCCAGGGTTAGTTTAACCCTCAGGGTTCATTGGCCGTATTCATCAACCATAGGGTAGGGTTTACCACGGAACGCGATCCACCCGTATCGATCAACGAACCTGTGGCCATATTCATCAACGAAGCCTGATGGTTAAACTAACCCTGGAGGGTAAGGCGTCAGTTACGCGTGCGCTGTGCAAACTCACATCACAGAATGCCTAAGTACGTGCTAAATTCACTTTACACTTCTATTCTTTCACTGTTATATAGTAGTATAACCAACGAATAAGCTTCTAACACTAGTTTTTATAATACATCTCTAGCATATTTGTGCAGCATCCAATCTTACAGCGTGAATTTTTATGTGTGCAATT